TGAGAGCCAACAATCAGGTTCAATTTCCTAGCAAAACTAAACTCGCTGAGGGAAAGAATGGTTTCCCTGAATACATTACGTGCAGTGGAATCTCATTGTGTATTCTCACTAGAGGGTTTTGTCTTGCCTACCTTTTGAATAAATCTGTAAACAAGACGGCTGAGTAAACAGAAAGTGCATGTAGTCTATAGAGATGCCTAAATATAAACCATTTATTATGCGCTTTGGATAGGAGTAGATGATGCGTTACGGATAAAGGGCAGCTATTCGGAGATAATTCTTAAACAGAGCTAATTAAATCTGGGTATTTGGTAGATATGCCAGTAGAATAGAAGACAAGAGATGTGTCTTACATAAGTGGTGTTTACCTGTGCACAACAACATGATGCTAGAACTGCTGTTAAGAAATAACCACATCAGATATTGAGACTATGGGCCTTCTCATAGCCCTGGGGCAATGCTGCGCAAGGCACGACGCAATTGTTGTTTGCTAGTTTCAGCTCGGCGCAAGAGTCGTTTTGACGTTTTGCAGCTCACTGTTTAAATAGCAAATGCATTTGCGCTTATGTGTGCGCCCATAGGCGTTCTGGTCTGATGTTGAGGCGCATTGCTATTTTGAGGAATTAAAATAGACTGCACAATAGACCAGATCAAAGCAGGTCTAAAGTCCAGCGCAGAGTGCGTTAGTTGTGCGCCTTGCTTAAACATTGCTTAATACACACAGCAAAACAAATATCTTTACAAATGAAAAAGAAATAATGGATTAAAATATTACAAAAAATATTATTTTCTAGCTTACATAAATATAAAAACCACCGCCTACATGCCTTCTTCATCTCGGGGGTCTTTTTTAGTTTATTCATGACAATTTGCTTTTGTATAATGTTATTAATATTAGCAGTATTATTTATTATATGCATATTTATATTTATATTATTGAAAACAAGCTTAGATTTGCCCACCTGTCAGGTTTTAGATCAAATGGGGCACAGCATGTGTATTAGTATATAAGTCAGTTTTTTGACCACACTTCGTTATTCTTGTTCATTTATTCGTTTTCTGGAAATTGGAACTGAATTTAGAAATAGTTTTGAAACAAATCTTCCTGATTAATAAACTAAATGAATTATATATAGGCTAATGGATGTCTGCACGTACAACACGTTTCCTTATCCAAGAGAGTGAAAGTGAAAGTAAAAAATGAGGAGGCTCATCTCTCATTCTCGCGCTGTAGATGCGCTGTTGAACTGTTTTCTCTCTAGTGAAGCGTTTAGTTTTTCCACCTACAAAGTCCGCCATGTAAATAGCTAATGTGCCATGGCGTGACGCAACTGACTCTTAAAGGGAATGGGAGATAAGACTCCAATTGGTCAAAACACACCTATAACTCATTAAGAGAATAAGTTCAACCATGTTAGACCGTGCTCCACAGCGCAAAGCAGATTTTTCCATCCTTAAAATAGCAAAAGTGGATTCGGACACCCTTAATGCGTTGTGCACTTTGGACTTTGCACCTCGATCGTCAAAATAGAGCCTTATGAGCGCTAAAATTATTGTCAAAAAAAATAATTATTGTCATTAACTGGAATGCAAATTTTTAATAGGCAATAAATGAAAAACTAAAACTAAATGAAACTATCAACAGTCGCTGAAAAAAAAAATATTTGTCTTAAATAATATAATAATTAGAAAATATTTGGAATGAATAAGCACTCATTCTTTGGTGGAAAATCTAACCTGTGACCTGTAGATGGCGCTTTTAAAGCCAAACACATATGTTTCTGTCCAAAGATGCGACTTAGACTTCTATGCAAAAGTGGCATATTGCATAAAACATTTGCAAATGAAGCACAGATTTCCATCCTGTGAGTTAAAGAGATTTCAGATGTTGTGCAATGTGCTTTGCCCATTAATGCTGTTCCTTTTTTGTTATCATATAATTTGTTAAAACTAAATCAGTGCTTAAACTTTTCTTGATTGGCCAAAACAAATTTCATCTAGGCATGTTTAACTAATAAATATTAACGCACAATATATAACAACACACACCTCCTATTAGTGCCGACATACAGCTACATTGCACTACCACTCATGTGATATTGCTTATATATATATTTCAATATGAGAGACTATCAAGGGAAAAAATAGCTTAAGGGGGCTAATCATTTTCATCTTAATATGGTTTTTGAAAAAAAAAGTATCTGCTTTTATTCTAGCCGAAATAAATAAATAAGACTTTCTCCAGAGGAAAAAATTATATTAGACATACTGTGAAACTTTTCCCTGTTCTGTTAAGCATCGCTTGGTATTTGTGAAACATTTGAAGTATAGTAACTATACTTATATATGTTATATATGTTTTGAGGTAATTAATTTTACATGATCTGACATTATTGATTGGATTTCAGAAATATTGTACCTAAATTTGCATAACTATGAAAGGTGATTGGATCCAAAAGTCTTTAGTCCTGTCTTCTGTCTCTCTGGACCATGGTGCTACAGAAATATGAGCACAACACTGGACATAAGAGCAATTTTTTTAAATTGATACATAACTAACTTACTGGAGTGGTACTCTAACTATACATATTGTAGTTGACTATACACATAACCTAAGACAGACTGTAGAAATACTTCATGTAATACTGTACAATACTGTACAAAACACAACAAGGTGTTTGTAGTTAAAAAGCAAATAATGCAATAGGATTTGTTGTGCATTCACAAGTAAACTTTTTTTTTCTCGTTGAGTCCTTGTAACAGAGAGAAGAATGTTTCTACAGATGGTTTGTAGATCCCACTCATCTATGTGAAGGACATTCAGAATTGCTCAGTGTTACCTGAAGCACATTAAAATGAACACATAGTTTGAACAGACCAACATGCTCAACAGCCAATGCAATTGCTATTATTGAGACTACATTTACATATGCATTTGGATCATATATTTAAGGCAAGGCAAGTTTATTTATATAGCACATTTCATACATAGTGGCAATTCAAAGTGCTTTACATAAACAAGAATAAGAAAGGACAAGTACAAGAAAATACAACAAATAATAAAAATGATTAAAAACAGATGAAACTGTGTTAAAACAGGTTATAAAAGAATGAAAAAGAAAAGAAAGACACAATAGTGTGATCTGTCGGACACAGCACAGTGCTCATGTAGTAAAGGCACAGCTAAACAGATGTGTTTTCAGTCTTGATTTGAACGTGCCTAATGTTGGAGCACATCTGATCATTTCTGGAAGCTGATTCCAGCAGTGAGGGGTGTGGTAGCTGAAAGCTGATTCACCCTGCTTTGACTGAACTCTTGGAGTTTCTAGTTTATATGATCCTAATAATCTGAGTGATCTGTTAGGTTTGTATTCAGTTAGCATATCTGTAATGTATTGAGGTCCTAGGCTATTTAGTGATTTATAGACAAGTAATAATACTTTAAAATCTATTCTGAATGTAACTGGGAGCCACTGTAAAGACCTGAGAACAGGTGTGATGTGCTCTGATTTTCTGGTCATAATCCTGACTGCAGTGTCATGTTTATTCAAGAGGATGTTATTGGGGTATAAATGGATCTACTTTGGCTCATATGTCTTACTGGCTTCAAGCTTTGTTTAAAAACTTTTGGCCCCTATCACTTTCCATTCTCATCACAATTCAACACACGCTCAAAGTATACTTTAGTTTTTACAATTATGCAAGGGCCTGTGAACCGTACACAAGGCACGGATATCAACATCGGAACACACACAGGATTTTTGTAACTACACAATTCTCCCAAATGTGATTGACACATTTTTTACACACGTTTTTCAACAATGAACCAGTGCTTTGTTTCACGGTCATAAAAAGGAATGATTAAATTAAACGAAGTACAAAGACAAACTACTGAAGACAACAAAACAACAGGCAGTTGCATTAAAATGCACTTCATCTTCAAGCAAGGCAGCTTTATCACTCACAACTTTCAGAGGGAAAATACTAGGAATTTCCACCAAAAACAAAACTTTAAGTTTCAAACTCGATTCCCGGAGGGCCGCAGCTCTGAACAGTTTTGCTCCAACCTTAATCAAACACTTCAGCAAAAATCAATTAGCTGATCCAACTAATCAAGGTGTTCAAGACTACTAGAGACATTTAAGCAGGTGTGAGTTGAGGGTGGTTGGAGCTAAACTGTGCAGAGCTGTACCCCCCCCCCCCAAGGAATTGAGTTTGACACCTTTGTCCAAAACCAATAAGAGATCCCAAAAAAAAGAACATTCCAGAAACAATCCATTGACCTGGAGGGAATGTTCTATTAACATTAGTACAACTTCCCTGTCCAAGCTGGGATGGTATACAGGTTTACAACTAAATATATTTTGTAAAAAGTATTGCACACTAAAACGATAAATATGGCAAAATAAGCTCAACATGATTAAATCAGTGTTTTTGTTGCATGTTCTGCTTTAAATACTGCTTTTAGCAAATAAAAAAATGATTATACTCATTTAGCCGAGTTAAAATGTTTTATTAAGCAATTCAGAGGCAGGAGCACAGTTAGAGACACGGGTTTCCCCGATCTCCATTCAGTCACACAGTGTTCCCATTGTTATTAATAAATGAATTGCGCAACTAACCAATCAGAATCAAGTATCACAGAAAGCCGCGTAACAAATACTTTAACTTCAGCGTCTTTATTCAGTCTTACATGTTTTCGTCTCTGTCCAGGGTGCTGAATAAAACATCAGTCTGTATCACTCACTCTTTCTTACCGCAGATTCCTTAGCTTTGACCACAAGATATTCTTTTGGCGGATTTAAATGGGAAAACCCCGTGTCACGTCGACGAAATCTTGTCTTGAAACACCGTGTGCGAACTGGATTCCCTGAACGCGTCCATAGGAATTGTCGTGATTTCGTACAGCAGGTGTCAAAATAACTTCATACAAGCCGTGCGCATAAACGGAGCCGCTTTTCATCTCGCTTGAAGCTCATATGAAGGTTAGTGGATCTTACCTCTGTCCCCATGATGCCTGAGACGGTGAAGGATCTGTCCCGGTGCTGAAATCCTCTCCACTCGCGGGACAGAGAACGGACGGTGAGATGAAGGCGCTGGAGAGGGTGGAGCAGCATCCGACTCCCGCTGACGGAGGAGGAGTGACTACAACAGTTGTGCTTCACTTCAGGATTGTACATGCATCTTCTGAGAAAGGGGGAGCAGGAGCACCTGATTAACACTTAAACAACGAGGTTAAAAAGTGTCTCGTGAGTCGTGAAAGAATATCTCGTCAATAACTATTTAAATGAGTGTCTCGTCAATAACTATACTTTCAAAGACTTTTTAAAACACATTCCTAAACATAACTAACTGACTAATTTCTAATAACTGATTTCTTTTATCTTTGCAATGATGACAATAAATAATATTTTACTAGATATTTTTCAGGATACTAGTTTTTAGCTTGAAGTGCAATTTATATATTCATTCATTCATTTTCTTTTTGGCTTATTCCCTGTATTAATCTGGGGTCGCCACAGTGGAATGAACCGCCAACTTATCCAGCATATGTTTTACGCAGCGGATGCTCTTCCAGCTGCAACCCATCAGTGGGAAACATCCATACACACTCATTCACACACATACACTATGGACAGTTTAGCATACCCAATTCCCCTAAAGTGCATGTCACCCGGAGGAATCCCATGCAAACACAGAGAGAACATGCAAACTCCACACAGAAATGCCAACTGACCCAGTGGGGGCTCAAACCAGCAATCTTCTTGCTGTGAGTCGATTTTGCTACTGACTGCACCCTAATTTAATGACTTAACCTGGTTAATTAGGTTTACTAGGCAAGTTGGGGTAATTAGGCAAGTGATTGTATACACTCTATAACACATGGAGTTTTTTATTTAACCCAATGATTGAGTTAAAAATATCTGGTGATCTGTTGGATATTTTTTAACTTTGATTGGGTTAGTTATTGATAACTCAACTAGTTGGGTTAAATATTTTGTGCTTTTTTGGATTATTTTTTTTACCTTTATTAGGTTATTTATTTAATAACGGGTCACACTTTACAATAAGGTTCATTAGTTAATGTTAATTAATGCATTTACTAACATGAACAAACAATGAACAATACATTTACTACTGTATTTGTTCATGTTAGTTAACGTTAGTTAATGAAAATACAGCAGTTCATTGTTATAGTTTGTTAACTCATGGAGCATTAACTAATGTTAACAAGCATGGACTTGGATGTTATTAATGCATTAGTAAATGTTCAATTATGAGTAATAAATGCTGTACATGTGTTGTTCATGATTAGTTAAATGCATTAACTAATGAACCTTACTGTAAAGTGTTACCCACTAACTTAACCAGCAGTCAACTTATTTAAATGACACAGAACAGCTGTATTAATCTTAAATTCAATTCAATTCAATTCAATTTATGTTTATTTTAATAGCGCCTTTTACAATGTAGATTGTGTCAAAGCAGCTTAACATAGTTCTAGTATGTCCAGATTTCAGATTGTCCAGATTTTAATATGCTTACATAATGTTGTTTTTTTTTTGCATTATAAAGTTTATTTAAGCTCTAACGCAATGGTTTGTTCTTTAGACAATTGAAAAAATATTGCTTAAGAGTGCTATTAATGCTGACCTTTACATTTTTTTTTTATAAAAACTGCTTTTTGTTTTAGCCAAAATAAAACCAATAAGACTTTCTTCAGAAGAAAAAATATAGGAAAAACTGTGAAAAATCCCTTGCTCTGTTAATCATAATTTCATAAATATTTGAAAAAGAGCAACATTAATTCACAGGAGGGCTAATTATTTTGACTTCAACTGTAAATACAATATGAGTTGAGAAATTTGCCAGTGATATAACATCAAATTGCATGTATTAAATTGGAACAAAATCAAATTATGACAGAATCCTCTTGAATTTCTTAAAAGATAGAGAAAAGATAAATAAAGAAAATATACATACTTTTATATTTTAGGTAACGCATCTCAGATGAATAGTATAAATGTATATATTAACAAAACTTAATTATTAACACTGGATGAAACCAAAATCAAACACTTAATTTATTTATCATTTTACATATCTTAGTTACTTTATAAAAGAGAAAAATACTGTAAAAATACTGACAATAAAAATCAGCACGGTTCTTTATTAAACAACCCAAGCTCATTCTGAAAACGTATCGATATATACATTTCTGGAGAGCGCCAAATACCTCCCAGGAGCTACATTTTTTTTTTTTTTGCAGTTTTTGTTTTCGGGAATCCACCAGAGGCTGCTGTGTGTGCTTTTTGAGATCTCAAATTTCTCACGAGTGCCTGCTGTTTTTGTATAAATCCACTGGAGGCAGCTGCCGACTGACCCACCCTCCTCCTTCCCTAAACCCAACCAATAATGTTTTCAAATGCACCGATTGACCCGCCCACCCACTTCCCTAACCCAACCGATTCCCTAACCTAACCCAACCAAAAAAAGCGTTTTACTATGTTTTCAGATTATACTACATTCTCACCCTGTTATTTACTCGTGTATTTTATTTTTGGCTTCGTTTTTTGTCTTACCTGCTTTCTGGAACCGTTCTTTGCAGGACTCGAGCCCAGTTGTCGTGGTGAACTCCTCCATGCGTCTCAAGTCTGCCGAAGTACATGGCGTGCTCCTGGATAAACTGATAACAGCGGGAAAGCCATCCATAGGGAGGTAAGCGATTAGCTGGTGAGCGCGAAAAGGAATGGCCTCATATCACCCCGTAGCATTCATTTTAAAAATGAAATGCAGCCATACGTACTTCTGGCGACATAATTTGCGATCTCCAGAAATGTATATAGGGCTACGTTATCAGAATGAGCCTATACTGTTATTAAATGTTAAATGCATTGCAATTCAAATCTTAAGATTACAGATAGATTTGACAAGACTCTAAAGATATGTACTGGAATTGAAAACTTGAATATTTAGTGTTCAGGAAAATATAAATTAATAAATGATATGTTGCCTATTTTCTTTCCTCCAGTCTCCATTATCATTATAAAATGCAGAAATCCCCATATCAACCACTGCTTAAGACTTTTTTTTTTTTTGTAGTCTTGTCTTACAGTGTAAGTGTGCATCAACGCTGACACATCGAAACAACTTGAAAGAGTAAATATGCATGTTTTCCATAGTAAGTTTCTGCAGTTACCCCCTGGCAGAATTTACAGACTTTTGCAGTCCAGTGGAAGTGTCCATTCCTAAAGCACAGTATGGTGGTGCTTAGTGATGGTGTGCATATTCAATTGGATGTAAATCTGCGTCTGATGTAAATCCTATACTTTAAATCTATTAAACACATAACATTTAATATTCCATCTGAAAACGAATGATGACAGATTTATGTTGTGCTGGGCTCTTTCCTGGGTCTGTTTGTTGCAAAAATATCTTCCTCTGGCGATCACTGCGGTGGCTCAGCCTGAGTCATACATGCATGAAACAGACTGCATAATTCACAGGAAAGCCAAAGACTCTTAAAAATTTATTGATTGCGATGCTGATGTTTGGACGCTTCGATGCATAGACTACTGAGGAGTCATGTTTTAAGCACGAGCATGCCTAATAAAAACAAAGTGCTTGCATTTTACAGTAAAGGACTTTAAATCAAGAAAAGGTCATTCATGTGTGGACATGCGGATGAACAAAATATTGTGTCTCGGAGGACAACAGCGCTACATAATCATAAATGGCCTGCTTCCACTAAGTGGTACAGTACGGTACAAGTCAGTACGGGTCACCTTTATTAGGCTTGTGTTTCCACTGCCAAAAGGTAACCATTTAGTGGGCGTGGTGTACAACAAAAAGTTTCAGTTGATGGAAATGTCAAAGTAAAGCTGTACAGGTGCAAATGATATGAGAAGCACTTCTCACAAAAACAGATGCTTTATACTTGTGTATAAATGGTCATTACTAACTTTTCTATGAACATAATTTGATTATAACTGCAGATCAATGACAGCCTCAAAATAGCCTACTGTAACGTGTTTCATTATATAATATAAATAAATGAATGCAACATATATGAACACATGATATGTTACCAATTATAGAAAAACTACACACAGCATACATTTAGTCCTTATTTGGCTTCAAAAACAACATACAACATAGCCCAGAGTCAGTGCAAACCTCTCATTTCTATCTTCACCAGCACATGTATCCTCTGTTAAAAAGTAATTCAATCATTCCGAGTTCATAATAGTCTAAAAGGTGATGATAATAGTTAAACATGGCAGTTTCTCTATGTTTTAGATTGCTGAAGGAATCATTTACTCCTTTGTTTTTTTCTGGCTTCTTTTTTGTTTTTTCACGTGTCATTCTCATGTTTGTCTGTTTATGAAAGGATGGGATGTCAGAAGCACTTCAAAAATCAAGCGCTCATCAATATCATCAGCTTGAGAAATTAGTTATTTCAAATATAGGCGTGAAGTGAGTGCATGCGAGCTCTGTGGAGAAACTAAATGACCGGTTGCGATTTTAAACGACCTCTTAAAACAAAAACAGAACAATTCTTGGCCTTCAATGGAAAGGCGCGAATAAACATCATGTGACGCGATATGAGCGAATGAGGCAGCAATGTCTAAAGCCAAAAGTATACTTCTGATTTTACACAAACAATGGTTTGCATAATGCACATTTACAATGTAACACAATGTAAAATACAATGTAAGTGCAGTGTGCACTCAATTGTTATACTGTACTGAATTTTTCACAGTTGGAAAAGAAAAAAAGTACTTTTGGGCATTAGAGCTGTCTTTCTGCATGCACGTTTTGTGTCTGTTTATTTAGACAAAATGTATATAAGAGTTTAAAATAACAAGGCTGCAAAACATTAGTAAGATACACCTTACTAGTACAGGGTTGGACCACTTTTTGCTTTCAGAACTGCCTTAATCCTTCATGGCATAGAATGAACAGGATACTGGAAATATTCCTCAGAGATTTTGGTTCTTATTGACATGATAGTATCGTACAGTTGCTGCAGATTTGTCAGCTGTACATCCATGATGTGAATCTTCCATTCCTCCACATCCCAAAGGTGCTATATTGGATTGAGTTCTGGTGATTGTGGAAACCATTTGAGTACAGTGAACCAAGTCTGAGGTGATTCTCGTTTTATGAAATGGCGTGTTATCCTGCTGGAAGTAGCCATCAGAAGATGGGAACACTGTGGTTATAAAGGAATGGACATAGTCAGCAGCAATACTCAGGTAGGCTGTGGTGTTTACACAATGCTCAATTGGTACTAATCGGCCCAAAGTGTGCCAAGAAAATATCCCCAAC